GAGGAGGGCAATGTGGGAGCGTTCTAGAAATACCTGGCCCATGGGTGTAAGCACCCCCTGTGTTCAGGGCCCCGCTTCAGGTGCTAGGATGAGGGGAGGCTACAAAGAGGCTTACGGGCCAGTCAGGCAGAAAGCATGAGACGCTAGGAGGCAGTGAAGCCTCAGGGACCAGTGTGCCCAGTAAGTGCAGCAATTGCTGAGGAATGGCTACAAGAACCGGGGATGGGGAGAAGTACGGACCTCATATAGGAGACGCTGTGCGTGGAGCATCGCTACTTATCGTTCCGCCCTTGTCAAGGGAGCCCTGACTGGGGATAGGGGCTGGGAGCTAGTCCCAGAGTGGCCAGCACCAGAAGGACCAGAGGGCAAAGACTCACCTTGCCCTTCTGGGAGCGCTAAAAGTCAAGCTGGAGGGTCTATTTGGTCACATGACCTGAGGTTTGGGGCAGGGGCCCGAGAGGGGAGAGGGAGTCAAAGGGGTCAGAGGTCAGGGAGACAGTGGAATTCGGTGGGGGAGCTAAGCCAGAGCAGGAACCATGAGAACAGGTCCAGGCCAGGGGCAGATAGGTAGCCCGGGGGGCCCGGGGCTCGCTTCATTGACCATTGACACCATAACGCATATGTAAGTCAGAGCAGTTTAGGGGCCCAGAGTCTAGCAGATCATGTGCAAAAGAGATCCCAGTTAGCCTGACTGCTCTCTTGGGCTAGATCCAGAACACCAGTAGCTAGAAAGTGAAGCCGGATGAAAGCCAGCACAGGGAGTGTTCCGCAGAGATGGTGTGGCTTGCCTGGGTGGGGGAGGGGAAGTGCCAGGACAGCCACCTGGTGTGAGTCAGCGGCCTGCAGGGAAGGTCAGGTTCCTCTTGGCCGCGTTATAGGTGTGTGGGTCTGTGGTGAAGGAGTGGCGGTGTTCTGTGTTGCTCAGACCACAGCGGGAGTGAGCAGTCAAGCCAGGCGCCAACCCCAAGCGGGCGTCCATTTCGGGGGGACATGCGTATCGCGCGAGGCAGTGTTTGCAAGGCTTGTCTGCCTTAGATGGCTGAGGGAAGGCTCAGGGAAAGGGGGTGGTGGTGGCAGGAAGGAGGACATAACAGAAGGACATGGAATGCCCTCTGACATGTCTACCCAATCCCATCCCAGTCCCCGTGTGCTGGCTCACGACCTACGAGGCTCATTTCACAACCTGTCAATGGGCAGCCACTTGGCAGGGTGAAAAGCACTGCCTTGAGACTATGGGGGCTTAAGTAGAGGCCGTGCTGGTGCCTCGGGAGGGGTGTGGTGGCATAACTCCGCTACCACAGGACCTGGCGCATTGACAGGACTCCGAGGCCCTCCCTGCGGAGATCCTTAGGTTACAGAATTCTCAGTTGTTACGAAGGGAAGGGCCACATGACCATTAGCACACAACGTGATGAGGATGCAAACGGGGGTGCTGGCCGTAGGAAAGGAACGGGGGGCCGGGGGGGCACAGGAGGGAGAGTCCTATCAGATAGGGCAGCTCATGTCTCACACCCGCAGAACTGTGCAAACCACAACGATATGGACAGAAATAGGGAAGTCCTAAGGATCAGAGAGGTGGGAGAGACAACTACTTCGTTCCTGTTTTGACGTTTCTTGCTCAGAAACTATTTTTTGGATTGGATGTGTGTTGAGTTTGAGGTGATGGTGGGGTAAGGCAGGATAGGAGATTTAGAAGTCCACAGCATTCAAAAGGTAAGAGTGTCCCCCATGTGTAATGCAAAATGCAAACCTTGCTAAACAGTAAAGTAACTATATAAGGGAGCCCAACAGACCTCTGCTTTTTCTTCAGATGAAAGAAAGATTGGGTGAAATAGCACTTAAAATTATTTCCGTTTCTCTCTTTCCCTGTTACTGCCCTCCCCACACCCGCCCCCACCCGGGTGTCTCTCTCTGGTTCCCTGCTCTTGTTGATACGCTGATAATTCATTTAAGCTGCCTTCTGGGCAATCTTACACCACCCAGGGCATCCCAGGGGGAAACCTCTCCTGCAGGCTAGAAGAACAGAGCTGGAGTTTGAGGAAGGAGAGATGAAGACACAGGCCGTCCTGCGCACAGACATTTACCGGGAAACCGTGGAAATGGACAACCCTCAGAGCGAGGGGATGTGGAGAGAGAGAAAAGAGAATAGAGGTGGTGCATGACAGTGGGAGAATGTCCCCATTTTTGAGACAAGAAGGGACAGGGACTAGAAGAACAGCACCATCAGGGAGGCACTACGTCGAGGAATGCAGGCGGAAATGGGTTTCACGGCGGCGGCGTGACAAGGGTTCAGGGCGGGCCAGAGGAGTAAGAGTGGAGAGAGAAGTGTGTGGGTCCTTCAGCTGCTTTCTTCAAGGCCCGAGGAGGAACCACAGCCGGCTACCCTGGGTTAGAGAAGACAGCGAGAGTGGAGAGGGGACAACCATCAAAGTCCACAGGGCGGCTAATCAAAGCTGGCCGGGAGATCATCCGTCCCACCGGAAAGTCTAACAGAAATCCAGGGGGTGCTGCTAAGGGGCCGGCCTGGCCTGGCAGAACGCACCTGCAGCTGCCTCAGGCAGGGGCAGGAGCAGGGAGGAGGCTGAGAAAGCCCCTCGATGCTCCCATCCATCCCGGCCCCCTCCTCCCCGCTGGGTCCTGGCGGTTGCCTCTATGTTTAGCCACAGCGAGGACTAAAATATGTGCTGCCTGGCCCCTGTCAGCTCACCCGGAGAGGCTGGTGGACTTTTATAGAGCTCTAAGGCACATGGGTGGGAGCAGATGGGACGGGAGGAATGTGGAGTGCCGCTCTGCCTGGGGTGGTGGAGCTGGGCTGGCCGGCAGATGGATCCTTTTGGAATGGGGTTGCCTGGCAACGGCTTCTCCCAGGCTGGGCTGCTACGGTTCTAAGAGGCTGGCTTTGCTCTCCTCTGCTTACCAATGGCTCAGTCAGGCTCTGTCCAGAAGGAGGAGCAGAGCCCACTGCGGCTTGAGATGCTAGTTGGAGTGGCACCCTTTCGGGGCTCCCTGCCTGGCCTGGGACAGAGAGTGGCACGGGTCACCTTGAGGCCCATGGTGACAGGGCCCGCCCTGACCCCGTGCCTAGGCTCCATCCGGTACTTACTACATGTTTGTGGGCGGGGGAGAGCACGGTACGGCTCCCTGGAATGGGTTGTTACTACTTTTACTATTGAATGGCAGGAGAACTGACTGGAGAGGATTTTCCATGGCTGGTTTTCAGTATGGCCACATAGGTTGTTAAACACGCGAATGCTTACCTCCTGTATGGTTTCTGGCCACTGCTCTGAGTCCCCAGATGCCCCCACTACCCAGGCTGCCTGGCCCCTCCCCAAGAAACTCCTGGACATGCTCAGGATCTAGTAATTAAATAGTCTGCACCTGGCACTGTAGGGCCCCCTAAGACCGTGTCCCGGCATCCAGCCAGCATCTGACCACTGGGCTGGAGGCATCCGTGTGACCTCATTTGACTATTCCTTCTCTCCGAGCACTAGACCCAGCCACTGAGCCCTTTGCTACGGTGGCCTTCACCTCCCCATCCCTTCCCCCCACAGCCCTGGCTCTCCTGATGGGGCCTACGGCGGGGCTCGGGGAGGCAGCAGAGAGTGTGGGTGTGGGCAGGGGTGCCCACTCTCTCTGGAGCACTGGCAGACACAGGGGGGAGCTGCAGGTCCATTTCCTGCTCAGCCGGGAGGGCGGGAGAGGGTGAGGCAGCCTGACCCAGGGGGGAAACCCAGCCTCCCAGACTGGGTCAGGTCCTTCAGCTTTTACTGCCGCCGAGGGCCCTCTGGCTTCGGCCTTATTTGGTTAAAAAACCATTAAGATGGGGCCTAGGAAAGGGAGCTGAAAGCAGTGGGAACACGAACCTGCCCCCACCCTAGGCCTGAAATCAAGTTGAACAACTACTTACATTTTCCTCCTTAAAAGGAGCCCCGAGCTGCGTCCTTGCCCCTCCTCCACACAGCTAGCTCCCCACCCTTTGCTGCTCTCCTCTTTGGCCCCATCCCTGCTGGGAGCTCGCACTCCAGGCTCTAAGACCACTAACCACAACTTCAGAGCTAGCTGGCTTCTCACTAAGGCTTCCGACCTGCAGGCAGACTTACCCATTGGCCCCAAGCGCTACTGCCCAAAGGAGCCTTCTTGCCACACTTCTGGCGTCTTGGCACCCCCACCCCACCGCACCGCCAGGAGCCCACGGCTCTCGTCCTGATCCACTTCCTCTGCCTGGGCCCAGGCTTCCCTTCCCACCTGCTTCTCCCATTCTCAAAGTCTCCTCCCCTGTCAGTTCCCATCGACTTCCTCCCATCCTCCAAAGCTCTCCTGCACCCACACCCACTCGAGGGGCTGTGGTGCAGGACCAGGGGAGGGCGAGGTCTGAGCTCCGGGCTCTGCGGAGGGGCAGTGCAGGTCCTCCCCCGTTACCTGAGTGGGGCAGGAGAGGGCTATATTTGCTGCCAGGTCCAGGGTCTCCGTTTTTCTTCCTAGTGGTTCAAGCTACGGGGGAAGACAAGACAGAGCCGCTGAAGCAAGCAGTCCCTGGCAGCACTTTGCAGCCGAGGAGGCTCACAGCCTGATGTCAGGGGGGTGGGCTTCCTAGCTCCGCTGCAGGGCGCTGGGCAAGTCTCTCCGCTTCCTCACAACCTCTTAGGACTTGGCTGGCAGGGCTGGCGAGAGGCTTCAATAACATGGCTCACACGGCCTTGCCCAGCAGCTGGCATGTGGCGAATGTTGAATAAGCTTGAGGGTCTGTCTCGCATTCCTCAGAGAGCCCCTCCTCCCAGGTCAAAGCACGAAGGAGAGGGGGAAGTTGGTGCTGGAATCCTCAGGACTCCATATTTTCAGTTCTACAGACTTCTACAGATGTTCTAGTCACTGGTCCTTTACACTGCACTTGCAAAGGGAGGCCCAGAATGGGCCTCATTCTGTAGGCGTTGGTGCTTTGCCAGACTAGAGCCCCAGAGACCCAGGGATACCCCCACTTATTTTACCATATTGATCCAAAGGGCTCTGGAGAGCTGGGAGTGGAACTTCTGACTTGGGTGGAGACAGTCTGGAGCGAAGAAGGACATATCCAGGCGCCCATCCTAAAAGAGAAATGGATTTCTTCGAGATCCTATTGGTACAGAAGGTAGGCCGACCCCTGGGATTGACCACTCAGTGCCCCCCTCCCTCTGGAGAAGCTCCAAGCCACTGGCCTTCTATAAGGCCGGCTCATCTCAAAAGAGAGAGAAGAGCAATCCCACAGATAAATAGCCTTGGGTGACCCCAACCTCCACCCTCCTTTCTGGCCCCACAATTCCCCTTATTTAATGTGTTTAAAAAGCATCATATTTATTTTTAGCCCAGTTGTGCAATGCCCTAGCCCATGCCATGGTCCAGGGAATGAGATCCTAGTCCCTGAGGAGCTCTTGGCCAGCCAGCCGGGAAAAGCTACTTTCCAGCCCTTGGCGGCTGGTTCCAGTGGTCTTGGTGGGGAGAATGGGCCAGAGCTTGGGGGCAGCCTGGGCAAAGCTGACATGGGGGTAGCTGCCACCCTCACCTCTCTGGAGGTGAGCCGGGGTGCCCAAGGCTTCTTCCAGCTTCCCTCCATCTAGGCAAGGCCCTTAGCACGGAGGCCCAGGTGGAGAGAACTGAGTCCCCACCCTAGTGAGCTCAAAAAGCTCTTCGGCTCAACGTGTCAGGGGGAGAGCAGGGCCAGGGGGTGCAGGGACCCCATACGCAGCACCCTCCTTTAGCACTTCAGTGGTATGTGGGTGGCAGAAAGTGAATCATCTGAAGGTGGACATGTTCAACTCATGCCTCTCTGTCCCTTATTCCCTATGTGATTTTAGGAAGGATACTTCACACCTCTGAACCTCTGCTACCTGGGGATGAAGAAACTCATGGCAAATGTCGTTGTGAAGATTGTACCTATGGCAAACACAGGGCTTGGCACGGGGTAGGTGCTCGAGAAAGTGGGGCCAGCTATCCGTGGTAATGAGCACATCCCACATCGGGCTGCCGCCAGGAACACAGCTCAGGTGTTCGGGGAGGCTGTGCCACAGACTGGCCTCTGGAGAGCTGCCCGGGTCTTTCCCATAGTCTTCACACGCTCATGAAAGCCCTTGGCATCTCTGCCTTGAATTTCTTCTTCCTCCTACCCAGGAGCCCCACCCGGGGAGGGCAGGGAAACGTACCGCCAGGAACGGGAGCCGGACTTTGTGGAAGAAGGGCTGAAGTACCACAGAGAAGTCCTCCCGGGTGTCATAGCGGCCTGACCCCACCAGTTCCCGCATGCTGCTCTGTGGACACACGCAGGCTGCTCTCAGCACAGGCCCTGGGCAGCCCGGGGGGTGGGAGGGAAGGCCAGGGCGTGGCAGCTGGCATCCCTGCCCCCATCTCCCTACCCAAGAGGGTGACTCAACCCTTCCCTTGAGAACACAAACACATGTGATTGCAAATCTCTTTCCAGAGAATTGGAAACAGGTTGGTTCACCTTTTGGTTTTGCTATTAAGTGAACTGCAAGCTCTGAAGGGCGAGGCAGGAAGTCCCACAAGGGATAAGAACCTGGGAAGAGTCTCCAGAGGGCCCCTGGGGGCTCAGGACCTGCAGCCTCCCTATTCGTGGCCTGCCTGTTGAGGAGGGGAGGAAGGGGGCCCCCGGGGTGCAGGGAAGGAAAAGGCCCACCCATGGAGCACCCAGAGCTACTGACCTCTTTAGGCCAAGCATGGGGTGAAGCCACCGAGGGCAGGTGGGCCTCGAGGGCTTTGCCACCTGGATTCCTCTGGGATGACTCTAACTGGGGTGCCTGAGGCACTTCAGCCAGGTGGGGCAGAGAAAGGGCCCAGAAGGTGATGTCCCTCCAACCCGGACTAGCTCTTCCCTTCCCTGAGTGCCAATGTGTTGACTGAGGAGGGGGAGAGCAGCCCAAATGGTGGTGCCCTTCTTGGTCTCACCTGGTAGGCTTGGGTGACGGCCTCCAACCTGGCCAGCTCTTGGGAGCTCTCCCGAGGGGTCAGAACGCAGTTACATAACACGCTGCACAAAGAGGGGGAGGCAGGAGGACCCAGAGCAGAGGCTCTGGTCAGAGCTGGTTCTGCTGTGTGGGGTGGCTGGCTTGAGCCCTGGCTTAGGAGCACATGTGCCCTGAGGCTCTGATGCACGTTCTCAGGGGCAGATTTCAGGCCTGACACAGGGACTGGACAAAGTCCCAAGGGTGTGTGCCTGAGCATCCTCTCATACTGATAGAATACAAATACTGGACTGCAGGCACTGGGCCTCTGGCAAATAATGCGGAACAAATGAACTTAGGCAATGAAAATCCAATGTTTAATTGGGTACGAACAAAATAAAAATGCATCCTGTGGTATCGGAGCTTGTATTCGGGGGTCTCCGCTGCTCACGCCCTCAGATGCCTCCTTAGTTCACACTAGTGTCCCCCTTCATCATGAATTGTGCATTTATAATGAATCTGTTTGAATTTCTTCATGAATTATTTCACGCTCGTGAAATATACTTCATGTTAAAACAGATGTTATCTCTAAAGCACTGAGAATAGGGCCAGGCACACAGTAGGTTCTGTAAAACTTTGTTAAAGAAATAAATGTACGTATGAGGTAGGAAGATTAATAAAGCACATACCTATGTACCTCTCACCCCACTTAAGAAATAAAACACTCCCATTCTGAAGTCCCCCAGTGTGTTCCTTCCCCATAAATGTTATTAAATGATGTGGATAGTTTCTCTACTTTCTGTTTCAATCTGGCCACGTACATATACAACCCCACGTTTCCTCTTTTCACTGGCTTGGCCACGCTGTGTCTTAAACACCAGCAATTGTCCCAGCCCTGATCCTCTCCCCTGGGGCTCCCATGTCACAGAGCTTCCTCCTGGCATCCTGAGGTTGGGGGAGATTGGGGCGGTCCTGACATAAGACCCCCTTTGCAGACTTGGACACATGGACACACCAAGTCACAGAGACCCTGAGTAGTCACCACTGTGAAAATGAGACCAGGAGGTGAGCGCTTCTCTGGCGGGGGGCAGCCAGCCCCTGCCTACCTGGCCTGCTGCACAGGGCACCTGTCCGGGTTGCCTAGAAACACCTGTCGCAGGACGCTGGGGCTCAGGAAGTCCACGAGGTTGACCAGGGCTCTGGGCACCTAAGGGCAAGGCTGCAGGTGAGAGAGGGGCTCTGGGAGCTTCTTCCTCAAGCTGCCTTAGGGCCCTGAGAAGTGACTCTCTACAGAGCTCTGGCTCACATTTTCCTGAGTAGAGTTTTGGGAAGGCGTCAACACAGGGTCACTGTGTCGGGCCCTGCAGGCTCTGCGGCCCGCTGCGGGCTGCGACACGAGTGGCACCTCCTGGCATGGGACAATATGGTGCACCTGAGTCTAAATGCTGACAGTTCGGCTCCACTCAGCCATCAGTTAGTGAGCTTCCAATCTGCTGAGCTAGGTGCCCTATTTGCCATTTCCCTCTAGCCCAACATGGACCAGCTCTGCTGAGCAGGCCTGGGGACTCGGCCACCCTGAGGAGCACATGGTAGTTGGAGGGCTCCCCCTGGGCAGCTGGAACAGCTTGTCTGTGTCAGGGGGTGGAAAGTGAACAAGCTCTTGGGAGCAGGACCAGAGAAGGGTTGCTCTAGATACAGCCTATGGCTCAGTGCGCAGGGCCCAGCCTGGGAGCCACCCTGCTGTGGCTGCCAGGGTAGGTCTCAGGTGCTGGGGGATGGGGGAGACAATGAGCACACCAGCTGCCTTCTCTTCAAGCCTGAGATCCTTCTGTGTTGATTCCAAATGGAGGTAGGCCCCAAACTCTGGAAAGGGAAGGCGCCCATGCCCTTGGCTGTCTCCTTCAGGGCAGGGGGTAGCTCGCCTTCTTTCCCCCATCCACACTCCCCCCTCCCACATGCTTGAGCTGTGTCCAGCTTGTCGGAGCCTCCACCCACCTCTCTATGTAGGATGTCCAAGGCGTTGCGGAGATGGTCAAAAAAGTTGGCTGCAGAATACAGATTCTAGGAAGACACAGGAGGAAGAGGAGGAGCTACCTCGGGAGAGGGGGCACTGGGGCAGCTGAAGGCCCCCCTCTGGCTCCAGCCCCAGGACCTCTTCTCCCTCTGGCTTCTGGCTGGGACCAGCTCATCATGTCAGAACCTGAGCGGTTGATTACTCGCTATTCACAAAGATGGGCCAGCCAGAAGACCGGAACCTTCAGCCAGGGCTTTCGTTTAGGAGCTGAACGTGCGGGTCCTCCTTCCCACAGCCGGGGTTTCTGGTTTCTCCACTTCCTGAATTCTCAGGAATTTTAAGAGGGGACTAGAAGCCCCATATTTGCCACCTGCTACCTTGCACCCCCTGGGACATGGAGGTGGGTGGGGCCAGAAAGCTGAGGGTCGTGGGGTAAGTGGAGGCACACGCACGCAGGCGTATTTGGACAATCCTAGGGTTGGTTCTAGGGACTAGTCTCAAAGGGGACCTCCAAGGCCTCCCGGTCAATGTCAGGAGCAATGAGTAGGCCTGGCTGTCCGACCCCCCCACTCCGTACCGAATCTGTGCAGTAATCACATAAGTCACTGCCTCCAATCAGCACCGTGATAATCTTCCAGTCCTCGTGGAAATTCACTCTCTACAAGGAGGAGGAAAATGCTTGATGATTTCCAACCAATAAACAATGCCACAGCCCGAGGAAGTTCATTCAACCCTCTAAGACTTCCTTGCCCACTCAAAATAATAGAATCAGGATCTCAGAGCTGAAAGAATTTTAGAAGCTTATTTATGGACACAGAACCTTAGCATCAGGAGGGACGTTCAAGATCATTGTGCTCAGGGACAGCCCATCCCCCACGGCCATGGACATAATTTCCAGGGCCTCAGACTCGGACCGTCCTATCACTGCTTGAATGCCTCTGTAGTGACAGTGGCTCACTGTTTCCATGGTAGACCATTCCATTTGGGGACATCAGTGGGTTAGAAAATTAGTGTTTAAAAATAACTGTAAATCCGACTCACGTGGTCATCTTTCATCCTCTGTACCAGAGTCTGGACTTGGCTCATAAGTTCCCTGAGAAGGAGAGGAAATCAGTCCTATGGGAGAATAGTGCCTGGATTTTTCCTCCTAAAGGGCCTGAACTGGAGGTTTCCATGGCATTATCCCTATTGCCCGAATTGCCAGAGACCCTGAGGCTCACAGACAAGGAGCTACTTGCCTGTTCTGGAGAGTTATTACAACAAATAACCCTTTGAAAAGCGAACTGTCTGTCCTAAAGCTGCAGTCAAGGGCACTCTCAATTGTATTTGTTACTCGTGGTCTCCTTTCTAGAACTCCACATGCAATGTGTCTTTTAGGATTCCATGCTAGGAAACCATTTGTCTCCTTTGCAGGACTGGTATAGATCATGAAAATAGATCTATGAAGGTTTTAGCATGCTTCCTCTCCCCGCCCCCCCTCCACCCCGGGCTGCCAGGAAGCTGAGAGTTTGATGTTCAAGCATAAGAACTGCAAAAATGCTCAACTTGACCCACTTGCTTCTCCCCTACCCCCCCCACCTGACCAGTGGCTGTGATTTTTCTCACTTACGTACATGTTACTTGTGTTATTTTTTCAGTAAACTTAGCCAGACACTTCTTTTAGAAAGAGGTGGGGAATAAATATACACTGTTACATGCTTGGGTTTATAATTCATGGAAAGACTAGATCTCAAGCATCCCGGGCTCCCCACTAGTTCAGGCCCCTGTTACAGGTCTGGGTGAGATGGATCCACAGCACGGTGATTTCCTGGGACCTGCTGGTGGGTCCATCTGTCCCCAGATGTTTCAACTGCCAGGAAGGGTCTTCCCGGGCTGGATGAGCTGGTTGGAAGGCCATGCCCATCAGCTAGAAGGGCGTGGGCCCGAGCTGGAAGGTAACAGTGTGTTGGAGGGCCAGATGGCCGGGCCAGGAGCAAGGAAAGCCGGGCTGCTGGGGCCACTAGGAGCCGGGTGAGGGGCCTCCTGAGAGCACTCTGGGGGGCCGAGCAGTCCTGCTTCCGCTGCCTCTGGCTTCTCAACGGCATTTCCTACTGGCTCCAGAGCGGGGCTAGGGACAGGCCATGACGTGTTGTCCCAGGAGCCTCCACGGCTGGAGATTCCGGCTTGTCCATTCGTTTCTTCGCACTCCTTGATCTTTCAGGGGAACTGCCACTTGTGAGGCTTTGGAGAGAGTGAATCTCTCTAGCACCATTATGCCGCGGTGAGTATTAAAACTTGGATAAGTTTAGTCTGTTAGTTGCATGATTAGAACATGTGGTCCAAGAAGCAAAGTCAGGAGTTCAGCCTCTGGGGCCATGGTTTCTGTCCCAGCTCCAGCCTCTCGGGCCTCCCCGCTGCAGCCTTAGTCACAGGGGCAGCCAGGGAAGAGAGAGGCTGAAGACCTCTCAGGTCATTACTGCAAATGGAGAACTGTCCCCTTCGCACACGGAGGTCAGGATTACAATCTTAAAGGGCACTGCCTGCCTCCCACTCTCTGCCCCACGGGCCCCCTCCCCAAACGCCGTACTCAGCCTTTGCTCCAGGAACAGCCCGATTGAGGAAGGCATTTGTGTCGTTGGCGCCACCCGTGCCCACCGCATAGCCCGTGAGATTTCTGTTAAACTTCCGGAGGATATCTGGAAGAGGAGGGCATGAATGGGACACAGAGCTTAAGAGGGAGGGGTATCCTCTCTGCTCTAGGCTCCCCAGAGGGGGTTCTGTAGCCACCTTTGTGCAGTCAGACAGGGAGGGGGAGGGTGTGCCTGGCAGGAGCTGGGGCGCCCTGAGCGGAAATGACCCAATGGCACGGTGGGCCAAGGCAGTAAGAGCCTCTCAGCTCCCCTCCTTTCCTTCCCTCATTCCCTCTTTTTCCTTCCTTCCTTTCCTCCCACTCTCCCGTCCGCCCTTCCTTTCTTCACAGTGCAGGGAATGTTCATGATCTTATTGGATTGTCTCTGCACCCTCTGGGCCAGTTGAAAAAACCCGAGGCTCAGAATGTTTGGGGACTTGCTCTAGGTCACTTGGCAAGCACAGAGAAGAGCCAGGGCTTGAACCCAAGCCTCAGGGCTCCAAACAGAGGGTTTATGACACCCCCTTCAGCTACCTCTCCATGGGCCTCTCCTCCTACGCGATGGCAGTATGCAAAGATGACTTCCTCCTTTCTTAGCTGAGGGGTATTCTCAGGAAGCCAGGGGTCAGGTGGAACCAGGGAACAGCCTCAAGCCCCTGGCGGTTACTTACTCGGTAAGGTGGTCACTGTCTCCAGGGAGTCGTCCCCGCCTGAACTGTAGGGAGTGAGCAAACCAGTGAGAGAGAGTGAATCAATACTTAGGCTTTCTGAAAGAGCGCCCCACCTTTCTTAGCACTCACGCCATCAGCAGCTGTAAGATGTGCCAGACCCATTGGTCTCTGTGTTGGAGAAACCCTGAGAGAAGTCTGAATTCCCCAAAGGGTTGGTTCCCCCCCAAAACCAGGATTTGAAGGCAAAAAAGGGCTGTTTCTTTTTTCCACCAAATCAGGACAGAAAGCACTTAGCTGAGCATATGCTACGTGCCCAGCATGTCCTAGATTCTCTACATTAGATACCCAACACCTCCCAACAAAACAAGCTTTTGATACAGACACAGTTATCCCCACTTTACAGAGGAGGTACAGAGGGGTCAGAGGTGCAGAGGGGTCAATTAACTT